GCTCTGCGACGGGTGCGTCAGTGAGATGGTCCTCTGAAATGTGCGTGGGATCAGGTACTCCCCTCGCGGGGGATTGCGCGCTATCCCCCACTGAGTCTCTTTGCGCTGGCCGTTTTGGTCGTACAACTTTCCCATGAACCCGTACTGCAAACTGCAGCGTACACGGAGGAATCCAATAAGTCCACCTGGGATCCTCCTCCGTGCTTGCCGGCGGAGTATCCTCATCCCGTATCACCCCGCTCTGCTTCCGCCTCCATGCCCATCGCTTCTTCATATGCTTCGCGTTCTCGCTCTTCGGGTACCGCCTGCGTTGGCGCCAATTCTTCTCGAGGTATATCACTGGGCTTGTAGTGTCAGTGACGAGTGCACTCTCGAGAAGGCCCTCTGGGGCAGGAACTTCCCTCGGCGGGGAATTCAAATCCCCGCTAAGTGTCCCCCGCGTCCGTGTCCGGCTCGAAATGCCCCCGTACTGCGCTGCGAACGCGAATATCACCCCATATAGCAGGATTATGGCAACCCGTATCACCTGTGTCGCCGCCGCCGCAAGTTCTGACCTCGTGGAAAAGTCAGTATCCCTTGTCGACAAGGATGCATGCTCTGGCTCTGGTACTTCCCTCGACGGGGATCGCGGAAGATCCCCAGGTAAGTACACCCGTGTGTCTCCGCTGTTATTGTCATCCGACTCCGTGCGCACCGTCTCCTCGTCACCCTTCACTGCCGTTGTTCTACCTTCCATCGTGTTGCACACTGTAAAAGAAATCTCGTCAGTACCCCTATCATGCTCTGCGTGTGCCACGCCTTGTACTTCCCTCGAGGGGGTTGGCAAAGCCCCCGTCGAGTTCCCTTGTGCCTCTGTGCCTGTCACCTCAGTCTCTCCCATGGGACGGGTCGCCGTCCGGCCTTTTTCCATGTGCTGGTCAACGTACTTCGGGCTCGGGTTATTAAGAAGAGGGACTCGCCTAACAGGAGGTGCGCTACTTCCTCCTGCTGACGTTGTGCGCGTTTTGGGGTCCAGGAACACGGCATTTACTGCCCCCCGTGCCCTGTCCCACTGGCTCATTTGCCCCAGTTGATTCAGTACTAGCGTTGGGCCTGTCGTCCCCGGCACCGATATTGTGTCGGTCGAGTAGTCATGGACCGCCCCAAAGCCTTCGAGCAGCGGCTTCCCGAAGAGGAAAGACCACGAACCACCGCTCGGGAAGACCTCGAAACAAGCCCGTATCCTCGCCCCGCCGAACCGGATGTACCCCTCCCAGTATCCTATCGACGGCACGAGCGACCCGTTCGCCATACGCAGTGTCTTCCCCGACTGCTTCAGCTTCCCTATCCTATGCTGTATCGCCTCGTACAGTGCGGTGCACATTGCGTTCACCATGGCGCCCCCGTCTTCCAGCACCCGTATCCGTTCCAATTCCCCCTGTGGTCCTTCCACCTCGATCATGCACACGAAGGGCACACTCGTGCGCTTCGGCTCCTCAATTCCCACCGCGTAAAGATCAATGATGTGTGATTCGACGGAGGGGGAATACATGCGGGTCGACATAGTATTACGGACTTGGGGGCCAGGCGTCATGTCCCCGGGCGATGGCTCATTGCGCCCGAGGACCCTCCATGCTTTCTGCTCTTCTGGGGCTGTCCGAGCTTCTCTTTGGACAGCCCCTAGGCATTTCCCTGCTCCTCGACCTCCTCGAAGTGCGCCTCATCACCCCCGAATGGCCGCCCATAGTCATCGACGTCCCACGAAGAGAACGAGACGATATTCACCCCCGTCGGCGCTTCCTTCAACGCTTGCCACGCGATCCTCCTCCACTGTTGTTCTCGGATGCTGATGCACTGGTCCTGGGGTGCGTCGCAGCCGCGTTGGTAATTTGTGTGGCCTGTGAATCCGCACCGGAAACACTCACCCGAGTTCAAGGGTGCGCGTCCGGGGCGTAACGGGTAGGGCGTATTCACGCTCATGTCTACGTTCCCGTGTACCCGGTACCACTGCTGCTGCTGTGCACCGTGATTGCGTCGCCCCTCTTCGGTGTCAGGGTGGTGCGGTATGCGAGCTATGGCTTCCACGAGGATGCGGCGCTGCTCGCCCGCGAGCGGCTGCTGAACGACGAGCGGCGGGCGTGCTTGCGGTTGGTACTGGGGTCGCGGAGCTTGGTACTGGGCGCGTGGCGCTTGAGGTTGCTGTTGCTGCGCACGCGGTGCTGGTGGCTGGTACGGAGCGCGCGGCGCGGCGAACAGATTCCCCTGTCCACCGCCTCCCGCAGTCTGGAATGGGCTTGCACCCGGCGCGGTCGCAGGCCATCGTCCCGGTGTCGCTGCTGGTGCACTGATCCTTGTGCCGCCCAGCTGCGCCCGTATGCCCGCCGTGGGCGAAGCCTGCAACGTCGACTGCTTCTCCAGCATCTTCTCTAGCCTATCGCGCTTCTCTTTATCCTCCCGCCGCTCCTTCATTTCGAGCTCGAGCTCGACCGTATCGACATCCCGCACAGCCTTGATGAATGCTGGCCAATTGGCGTGTGTCTTCCCTATCTTCGTGCGCAGGGGACTCGGGAGCTCGATGCGCACCTGCTCGATGTACGTGGTCGTCGCTGAAACTCCGGCCTTCATTGCGAGGCGCAAGATCTTGGTGCACCAAGCATGATGCGCCCACACCTCGCGGTCGGCTACCTTGACCCTCGTGCCCAGCTCCGCCATCGTGAGTTTGCAACGGAGCAGCTCCGTTCCATACTCTGCTGCAGTGGGCTGCACGGTGGCCTCCTCGGGATACTGGGCCTCGACTGCGGCGTCAATCAGGTCCATGTCGATTTTGGTCGCATCCGGGAGTGTCTTGAACCAGTCGTCAATGTCGCTGCCGGAGATGAGGTAGTTCCGGAATGCTTCCGCCTTCCCAGCCTTGGACGGTATCCCTTTAGCGTCGCGGTGGAACGCGCGTATGAAGTCCTGCGCGGACATCTTCTCCGTGTCTCCGTCCCAAGCGCCCATTGCCATGCTGTCGGAGTCGTAGTAAACGGTGGTGGGACAGGTAGTGTTGGTGGTGCGAGAACTGGGTTCGGTGGTTGTGCAAAAACGGGGAGTTCGTCGTCACTCGATTGACTCGGTGTAAGCGTTGACGGGGTGGTTGGCGTGGACGGTAAGTTCGGCGACGGTGTTCTGTGGGTACGGAAGTCGACGGTCTCTAAGGTCTCGGTACTGGCTCTGCTTGTTGTTACTGCGTTGCCTTGCTCGTCTCGTGCGCGAAGTGTCGGTGCCAGCGTGTACTCGAAAAAAACTAGTCTCGTTTCTCGTTTCTCGTTGCTCGCTGCAGGCTCGAAGCACACTCCAGTCACCAGATGGGCTAGGCGTCCAGATGCGCTCTCAGGTGGCGACAGGGAATCGCCCGTGAGATGCTGAGAAGAATGAATCTGAATCTGACTACGGTCCGAAACCGGCTCTAACGCACGGAAGCTACTGCCAAACAGGGCCAAACACGCCAAGCCCTCGCTACGCCTCGCCTGATCCCCTATCGCAATGAGTCTCCCGTTCCCCTTCCGTGAGTCTTGTATTCAATGTCCAAATTATTCCCAAATCCCTGTTGAATTCAATCGGTCTCCTTTGAGGGAAGAGAACAAGGAAGGGAAAAAGTAGAAGAAAGCTAGATTCATTCCTCATGGCTCGAGCCCGAGTCGAACGGGACTTTCAGTGGTTCTGCGACGAAGCTAGAAGAGCAGATGCGGACCTTCCGCCACCGAGCCTTACAGCCATAGTTCTGCGCCTGTACTCGAGAGAAGAAGTTTGAGCCTTCCAATATCTCGCGCGGGCGGACTGAAGTTGTTGGGAGCTGCATCATCTCGTTTGAACTCCCAATTCCGACTTGAAGCCCGCAGTTCACATATATATATATACGTGTGGCCACTTCGCCACTGGAAGAATCTTAGTGAAATCCGGCCTTGGAGTAGAGCTCGGCAAGCAGGTAAGTAAAACGTTGCCCCCTTATTCTCCCTCTGTGTCGGGCTCAACCGATGTGTTGCGGATGGCGACGGTAAGTCCAAAGGTGAGAATCTTTCTTCGTAGTTCTCTTTGGAGTGAGAGCCACGTCACAGATGGGCGAGAATGGCTTCCCGTCTGCGAAAGATGTTGCGAAAGATTCCAGAGATTACACGAAGTCTGATTCATGATTAGCTAGAGCTAAAATGATGCAACGTTTGAATCCCAGAAGTATCACTCTCCAGTGATGCAACAGCAACCGATACGATACTGACTCGATTCGATTTGATTTCAACGTGCTGAGAAAATGCGGGACAACAACATAACTTTTGGATCACAAGCTGGTTATACTTGTATGTATAGGCCCATCTCGGTATCTTTTATTATACACCACCGATGCAGGATAAAATTGAACCTTGAGATTTGTTCCATGATCAAACCAAAGAATCAAAGTTCCTGTGATGCACCCAGAAATCGAACCCTACCGTAGCATCCGGAAGTGACAGCGACCCTCTAAATCCCGCCGTAAGCGGCCCGGGGCTCGGTGCCAGTAAATCGAACTGATGAAGGCCGTGACGAAGGCCATGATCACCTACCCACTCTGATTCGGATCATTTAATTTCAGGTGCGGAGGACGGGAGCGGGGAGGTGTACGACAAGTCGATCTACTCAACGTCGGACATGAATAAACAGGAAATACTTATTACTTTGCAAATCAGAATACCTTTCGTATTTTACGTGGCACAACTAGGAAGCTACTCTTTTTCAAAAACGTAAGATAAAAAAGTCACGATATACAACCCTATGGCCCAAACCCGAGTCGAACGGGTCTTTCTGTGGTACTCGGTGGCTGCTTGGCAGGAAACCAGGTGACCTTCAACCACAGAGCCTTGCATCCACGCTTCTAAATTGCTTCTACATCTGAGATACTTCGAAGGAGAAGTTTGAGTAAATGGCTTGAACATTCTCTTCCCAGGTTTTTGTACTTCGCAAGCGTTCTAAAGAAAGACAAAAAAGCTTGTGGCTATATCCCATGACCATGGCTCGAGCCCGAATCGAACGGACTTTGTCTGCATCAATTTTTGTTTACAGGCCTCGTCAATAGAAGCAGATGCGGACCCTCCGCTACCGAGCCTTGCATCGCACCTTCTTAACATTTACATCGCACCTTCTTGACAACCATTCGAAGGAAAACCTTTGAACATGGCCAGCTTGGATTCTGAGATTCAGCGCGCGATTTGATTGAGTGTCTGCAGCGATGCTCAGGCGAATTGGCTGCTGGGATGCCTTCACTGATTGTGTACTGCGTGACTCACTGGAATGGTTCCGCTGGTCATCTCCACTCTACAGTATGCCGCTTCTGTCACTGGCAGGGATATTTGCGACGATGAGAACGATGGGTCTTGGGTCTGCTCTCGGACCATCAACTGCACTATTTCGGCCACATAGGCGAAGGCTCAATCACACGCAATGGGGATTGAAGCGAATATCCCAGGCAGGAGGTTTACTCCCTGAAAGTACCATATTTCCAAGTTGAAACCCCGAAATATCGCCCCCAGGAAAAACCTCGCGCCATATACGGCCGAGGGTTAAATTCAATCCGTATCTTGCAAGATTGAAACGTTGAACTCTGGGAAAGCGAAGGCTCAGATCGCGGGAGCCACAAGGTCTTCGAACAAAGTAACAATCTTCGGACCCAGAACGTGAACCTGTACGTGTGTATTGTTCAATTCCGATTAGAGCACAAAGTGAACCCCCAGTCTGCGAACCCAAAGCCAAACCCGACTCCCGTCCTTCGATGGATGTTGTGAAACGCACATGCTCTCCAACTCCCGAATCAAAGCTCTCTCCCCCTCCGAATCCAAACACCGCCCTTGCCCATCTTCGCGTCCTCCTCCAGATCATACGCCGTCCTTACGCCCACGCTCCCAAACGGCACCGTGCGATACACCGCCTCCTCCGCCCTCTTCCTTCTCTCCTCCACCCGATACCGTTCCTTCAAATCCCTCACATCCACCGCCACCTCCTTCCCGCTCGCCATCCGATACGCACGGCCCAGCGCCCACGTCCCCCAGCTGCTCGTCCCCGGCATCATCTGCGCGACCTTCAAAAACGGGAACGCCGCGTAGAAGCCCGCCCAGGCCGCTGTCGAGGTGGCGACGGACGCGCTCTGAAGCGCGAGTTCGGGGATGAGGGTGAGCGGGGAGGCGCCGCGCGGGTTTGCGGAGGAGAGGGAGAGCGAGCCGACGCGGAAGGGTGCGGTGGCTGCCAGGACTTTCCCGCTTGACCCAGATTTGTTCTTCACCAGGAGACGGAAGTACCCGTCCCCCGCCGCGACGGGGATGTGCACCAGCGCCGTCTCGAGGACTTGGTGGTCTTTCGGGAGAGCTCCAGACTCGCGGAAGCGCCGGATCTCCTTCTCGTACTGCCGCCCTTTGCCTTTCTCCAACGCCTCCCAGGTCCCAGAGGCAGCAGGTGTGACGTCCGTTTCCTTCCCCACCGTCCCGCCGAGCCACCCGCCCAGCGTCCACCCGAAGAGCCCCGTGCGCCAGCCGCGCCGCTGGAGCGTGATTGCGCGTTCGTCTGGCGCAGGAAAGGTGTGTTTGCCGGTGGAACCTAGGATTGATATGGGGACGAGCGTCGCGGTTCCGCGGTAGTACACCCACAGCCGTGTGTGGCGTACAGTCGAATACGGAGAACCGGGGGTGTGGTGCGCTTGGGCGTCGTTTAGGAAGTGGAAGGCGGCGTTGAGGAAGTGCAAGGAGGAGGTTGCGGCTGAGGAGGCAACTTGGAGGATTCGTGAGCCGCTGGAATCGTCCGTCGTTTGGTTTCTCTGCGTCGACATGGTGGGAGGAGGAAACCAGAAGTGAGCGCCGGGTGACGTCGCCATTTCGCGGTCACGTGGATGCGTCGCGTATACGATGCTTGTACACACAGTGTACGCGTCAAGAAATTATGAGGAGAAAGATCCTGCGTGGGCGATAAATGTGAAGGTCAAATCAGAAGGTCGATTCAACAGCTTCGTGCAGATGATTCACAGAACGCAACCGTGAGAATCCCGGTGAAAAGGTTGGGCTCGGAGAAGAGCGATGAAGTGCGGATCGAGAAGGCCGGTATGTCGACCTGCTGCAGTTTCGGAAGATGGTGAAAAAGTCGCACTGGCTAAGAAAAATCCGGTCAGCAGCTGCTGTCGGCCATATCTCTGATCTCGATAGAGGCTCCGACGAAGCAGTGGCATATCCCACTCACTGAAGATGAGGAGGTCTCGGAGGAGAAGGGAAAGCCATGCATGCTCCAGGTGCTTTCAGGAAGTGGGACAATCAACGACACGAATCGATGGAAAACAGAAAATATTTTGTATCCTTGAGAAAGAGATTGATGTCGGCTTTCGGGGATGGCGAGAGTGAACGGCACTAAAGAGACATACCCCTGCCCTCATGGCTATAGCCCCAGAGCAATGCGCACCGAGGTCGTGCCGCGAGGCGGGAGCTGAAGAGTTTCCGTAAATTGCGCCCCCAAAGCTGGAAGATCCTCTCGATGACTTGCAGATTGAGTCGCCGTCGGTAGCAACAGAATTAAAGCAACAGCGATACTACGTGGGAAGCGTGAGCCTTGCGTCGGAGATATATAGTTTTGTGACTCCCGGATCCCGCTGCTACATGTAATATAGTTTGAAGTGTAATCCTGCGATCAGCACACGAAATGCAGCGATATCGAGAGTCCGTAATCTCGAGGACATTTGATGGTAGTATCTTGAATCGTCGTTTTCAGGATAGATGAAATCTGCAGACATCCGGAGCAAGAAACTGTTCTCGGTAGGAGGGAAAAACGAAATGGTGAGAAACAGACTGCGAAGAAAAGACTCAATCAAAGTCGACTGAGCCAGCTCCAGATTGTAAGACCGAACTGCTTCGCACCAAGTTTCGGCAAAGTGTTGAGGTGAATTGGTCGAGATAGAGGTGAGGATGGAGCCTTTCAGTGCAATAGAGACGCAGGCAGGATCAAGTCGCTTTGAAATTGGCAATTTTTGACCTGCCTCCGATACTGCAGCGTGAAACGTATTGATGGTAGTTCCCTTTGGCTACACTGGTATTTAGGTCAACATAGATTATTCTGTCTCTTCGAGGACTTCGACTCGCCTGTGCTTTGGCGCGACTGCCTCTCGTGAAGGATGGCCTCGGCTCTGCTCCAATGATCCTCTCCGCCGGTGGCCCCAGCCTCCCAGTTATCCGCATAATTATCTATCGCCAGCTGCACGAATCGCTTGTCGTGCGCGACAGCTGCATTCAGATCTTGAATGTGCGGTATCGCGGGCCACAAGACCACAAGCACAAGCAAATGTGGACAGTGAGCCAAGGCGCCTTGAAGAACCGTGGAGGAGCTCGTCGCGCAGAAGCCGAGATGCGTGAGGCATGGGAGGGCGGCGAGACCAGTCCATGCCACCCACTCGGACCCAGGACGAACACCGTGGTTGAGACAGAGGTGGGTGACCCGTCGGAACATCTGATGAGTCGGGTCAAACAGAAATAAAAAGGCGATTTCCAGCCGCCGCGGACCAATCGTTACGATTGCGGGGAAGTGTCTGTCGATGTCGTTGGAGAGTAGGCAGAGATTCTCGACGCCACTGCATTTCGTGAGTATCGCCTCCGTCTGCAGGTCCATGCCAGCGTGGCAGAATAAGTGTCGAGTGTGATCACGGAAAAAGCTCGCTGGCCGGGAATCCAGCAATCGCAAGAATTTATCCACGGACATCCTGAGACGACTCCCTTCTTGGGCATGTACCATGCAGATGATGAAGACCCTGTATAAAATCGGCTCGGTCCTAATCCGTGAGCACCAACTCTGACGAAAAAAATGGTACCATCGCATACCAGATTTTCACACGTCGTGCCACCAAGAGCAGAGAAGAGACTTCGAGAGGTCGAACTTCAGCCGCCAGCTCAAATATTTCCCTTTCCAACTCCACGGGCAGACGAGGCTGCAGATCCTCCTCGATCGACCTGACGGTACGAAACTTGGTACGAAGGAAGGCGAGAGCGGACATGTGACCGGCGTGTCGTCCACACAAGAAAGACGCTCTGTGAGTCAACAAATGAGTTCAACGGGCAGCAAACAAGAAGAAAGTCTTACCGATGAGGTTTGGGAGAAGAAGAAATGCGTCACGTGTGCCCACTTTTCGGGGCTGTTTCCGGTGCGGAGAGCCGGACGATATCGGTCCGAGAGCCGTGAAGTTCAACATGTACAGTAAGTCGTTTAACCGGCGACAGAGTGGAGAGCACCGGTATAACATGAGCTGGCGCAGCAGAGAACGGGGTGCCATGTAAATACCCAAATAAATCTCGGTTCAGAGTCGAGGTTTTGAGGCAGTTCTGGATTTTCTGACAGTGGATTCTCGCAACTAATTCTTTATCATCATGAGAGAGCCTCCGAGAGCCGGAACCGACTTCAAACTGCAGAATCTCCTGCAAACTTGAAGGAGGTTCGACATGAGTTCAATCACCCGCAAGAACAAACACGGACCAGAAAACGCAATCAGTGTCATTCATCGACCAATACAGTACATAGACAACTGATAAACGTTGAACGTTGAGAGCCCAGTCCGAGGACTGCTGGCTTAATTTGTGAGGCTGAATATGAGGGAGGGCGCCAACCACCGTAGAGGCCGGCCACATTCACACCGCCCGCACAAGAGTGACAGCAGATGCGCTGTCGTACGCAAATCTGCAAAGGAAATATTAAAGACATTCGTTAGGAAACAGGTAGAGGCAGTGAATTGTACATTGTCATTGTACAAAGAAGAGAAAACAAGAAAGGGGAAGCGGAATCAAATCAAATCTGCCGCTGGTCCATGCTTCGAAGGGCGGTCGTTGTGAACCTGGTCCTTCAAATCCTGTAGACCATGCCCTGGTGAACGTCGATGGGCTTGAACCGCATCGTCAGCTCATGCTCGCCCTCCAGCGCATCAGGTCCTATGTTTGCTGCGACGATGATGACTGCCGCGTAGTCCGACGTGCCTCCGCTGCTCGCCCGCAGCCGCTCTCGCTCAATGTTGTGCAGCGGCAGTATGTGGTCGCGATACTGGTCCGCCGTGCCGACCTTCTCGAGCAAGTCCATGATCATTTCGTTGCGGAACAT